TTATTGTGTCCAAAGTGGGAAGTCCAGCACAATGTCCATATGCATAGGTGTTCAATTTTAAAAAAAGGGGGGGAAATAAGTTTTTGAATTCTGTTTATCAGTCTGGTTTTTTTAAATGTTTCTATTTTATATAATTTACAGTGATTCTATACATATTAGGAGCAATAGAAACTGTAGAATTCAGGTAACACCAGCATTTAGAAGTGTAAAAGTAGTACATTTTTCCATTAAGATAATATTTTTATTTATATAAACAAGCGTTTCATGATATCCAACAACATCTGGTATAAAATATGCTTCATTATAATGGAGGAAAAAGCATGTGTTTTTGCAATTAACCCACCTAAAATCATGTTACCAAGTAGGCTTCAGCTTGACTACAGATGCTGACCAGCAAGGTGCTAATCCCATCTTTGTTTATAACCAACAGAAAGGAGCAACTCTGATCTCCAACTCCCAGGTGCTGCAGATCTCTGAAGTGAATTTCTCACTGCTTTTCACTGCTGTGCACATCACTCTAAAAATGCCTGATCCATATACTCCCAATAGAAAACAAACCACAGCTTTTTAAGGATACTACAGGTGTAGTAAGTAACACAAAGTTCTTCAGTTCCCTCTTTGTCAGAAGCAACAGCAATTTGAATCACACTGCCTTAAGCTGCTAAAGGAGACATCAGTGATCTATTTTATAACAGATGGTGGCTTCTAAAGGTGAGGGTTTAAATTCCTACATCATTCATCACCAACAAACTGTAAAAAAAAAAAAAAAAATCGTGAACCAGAGCATGTTTTAGCAAAATCTTCCCAGCAATTCAATAGACAAAAGTTTGCATGAGCTACTCAGTGATATTACACACACATATTCACGTCAGGTGGTCAGAGACTGGAAAATCAATTACTGCTTGTTGCACACATATTTGATGAGTTGCTCAATACCCTGAACGTGGATCAGATTACTAAACCTCTGCTTGATGTTGTAAAGATATTTCTTCTTTCCTTTATGTCATGTGGCATTATTGATTCAGTTTACTAGTTTCTTACAGAAGCACTGAAGAAGTGTTTCCATCCACCTGCACCAAACTGAGCTCCAGTTCTGCAGTTATTGATCTCTTAAAGATACAAATCAATGTTTCTGTCATGACAATGAACAGATGACTGAAAACCAGATAACCTGTTTTTTGCTTTAACAGGATTTAATGGCTTACACTTAACTTTTATGTCTCATTATAAAGAGCTTAACAGAATAACTTTTTTCTTTTTTCGTTCTTATATCTAATAGTTTTCAGTAATGAAACTATAGATTCTACACAACTGAATAAAACCATTAGAGTGACCTAATGGTTGGTCACCTGTGGTAAAATCACCAGAGTTAAAAGAGTTGCTGGTCCTCTGCTTCACCTTAAACCAGTGCCAGGCATGTTCCACGTGCAAAATGGAAAGCACTGGCTGCAGTCACCCTGCAGGGGCACAGGTAATCTCAGCTGGTGAGCAGCAGTTTGTGAACCTACAGATCAGGTCCCTTTGGGCTGATGTCACATCATTTTACACTCCCACGAAAGCCAAACACCAATAACTCTATCTAGTAATAGTCAGCTTCACTAAGTTTGGTCTTGGAATTTGCCCAAACCTACAAGCTCAACCCAGTAAACTCATTAAAAATCTTCCAAGCTGTGCTGGAGAGGCCCTTACTGAACAACACACTCTTCCAGACACCAAAACCCTGATGTGATTCAGGCTCTCACATTTCACTGGAGTTTGTTGCATGGTAGTATCTCAGGGAAATGTCACTTTTCTATGTCTACAAAGAAGGTGGCTGTCCAGCAGCACAGACCACACCCAGAGAATCAGGAACACCATGCCTGCTATCCCTCCACAGGACAATCCCATCTCCCAGTCACTGCCCCCGCCTTCCTCCACCCAAGTCTGAGTTAATGATTTCCCAAGCAGATGGCTGCTGCTGGTAAGTAGATAAATTATAGCCAGCAGAAAGCAGGAAGTTTAGGATCACTGCCATGGTGAAAAACTGGATCCTCAGGAAACAACATTATATATAACTTAACAACACTACATCTAAAAAAAACCCCAAAAACCAAAAAAAAAAAAAAAAAAAAAAAAAAACCAAACCAA